AGTAGACTGGGCCCCGATACTCTCAGGAATAGACTTTGGGCCCCAATAATCTTAGAAGCAGACTGGGCCCCGATACTCTCAGGAATAGATTTTGGGCCCCAATAATCTTAGAAGTAGACTGGGCCCCGATACTCTCAGGAATAGACTTTGGGCCCCAGTAATCTTAGAAGTAGACTGCGCCCCGATACTCTCAGGAATAGACTTTGGGCCCCAGTAATCTTAGAAGTAGACTGGGCCCCGATACTCTCAGGAATAGACTTTGGGCCCCAGTAATCTTAGAAGTAGACTGGGCACCGATACTCTCAGGAATAGACTTTGGGCCGTGATCATTTTTGGAATGACCGCGGTAGAAACGGACAGTGGGCTTTTCCCGACGTTATTCGGGTGCAATTTGTGGATATGAGTAATGACCGTGCTTGTTGGGTCGTTGCGTTGTTTCTATTTTGTTTTGTTTGTGTTGGGGCGTGTTTTGTCTTGCTGCGGTTGTTGAATCGTTTTTGTGAATGTATTTGTTTGTGTTGGGTTGGGTCAGTGGATGTTGTATGTGTGTATAGTTTGGGTGATTTTATTTGGTATCATTGATTAAAAAAAAACAGTGTATGCTAAATCAACTGTCGGGACATATCCAGACACATGGCGTCTGATCGGCACAAAACAAACACACACACACACACACACACACACACACACACACACACACACACACACACACACACACACACACTCTCTCTCTCTCTCTCTCTCTCTCTCTCTCTCTCTCTCTCTCTCTCTCTCTCTCTCTCTCTCTCTCTCTCTCTCTCTCTCTCTCTCTCTCTCTCGCATGCAGCAGTGGTGGTTGAGCCGTTTTTTAATAGTACTATTGGGGGTATGTTGTGTGTTGATTATGGTTAGTGTTGCAGTCGTGTTTGTTGGGACCTTTTTGTCTATAGATATATTGTGCATTTGTTTGTATGTTTGATTATTGTGTAATACGATCATCAGATCCATGTTGATCATTATATATACGCTGATACTGTCTTAGTGTATAAATGTATATGCATTTACATGTGTTTATGTAGTTATGATTAGACATAAAGGAGAGAGGAGAGATGGAGAAGTGAGGGGAGGAGGTGGCGTAGTGGTCAATAAATAAAGATACCGCAGAAAAAAAGATAACAACCAGAGATAAAGAAACAAAGAGAGTCTTCAGAAAGCTCTGTTGCATCCGTCAGTTTATAGACCAAGTTTGTTCAATCGTCGAGATAATGAACTGACGTCGTAACAAGGGCGCCAATGATGCATTCTTCGCTTCCCGTCATGTGATGATGACCCCAAGTCAGCTGTTGGGTATTTATACGTCTGCCACGTGGGTCCTCTGTAAGGGGGGAGGGGGGAGGTGTTGCAGCGAGGGTGGGAGGCCGGCGGGTGCCAAGACACGTGGAATGGTGACGCTACCACGTGCTGGTGATTTTTGGCCTCGCGTTTTACTCCTTGCCTTGATTGTAGATTAATCTTGACAGCTGGCATGGGTCACGACCGGAAGTTGTGCACGGTGGGTGGATGGTGAGGAGGTGGGGGTGGGGTGGGGGTGGGAGAGAGAGGAGGGAGTAGTGAGAAGTGGGAGAGAAAGGAGGGGGAGGAAAGGGTTATAAACAATTTTTTCTCATATTTTGGCGAGAGTACGAGGTGGGTGTAAAGGGTATGGAGAACGACATTGTGGCTGTGAGGTGCGTTGTATCTCTGCTGCCAAAAAGAGTGTTTGGGCCCTAATTCCTGTCGTGGGTGTTCATGACATGTTGCTTTTCACCCGTGTCAAGGCGCACCTGGCTAAAGTTGAAGTGTTAATGGCATTGCGTAGTGGCGAGACTTGGAGGTATTTTTCTTTTTATTTATTCATTTCCTACTTCCAGGTGAATATTAAGATTACCGAGTTGTACCAGTCAGTTGAAGTTGCTCGCCTGCGGTATTGCATTATTCAAAATAACTTCTTTACTAACCATGAGTTCCATCTTGCCTCACGTATTTCCATGCAACCCAAAGTAAATAGATTGCTTTAACAAAGTCTGCATATCGGAAGAGAATATTGGTCCTAAAATAGCGGAAAAATAGAGGCACAATAACCGTTAAGCGGAGAGAAAAAACATTATCTCGGAAGTGATCAGAGTGGCGGTTGTAAGCGAACACCTGGCTGGCTTGTTTCCGTTAATCCCCGGGGGTGGGTTGCAGTAATCGCCATGCAATTGGGCCGCCGTAAAACATCGTTATCATGCTGGACTTGGGATGCTCAAATGTAAATTAGTTTAGGAGGGTGCTTTTGGAAAACGGTGTAGCTTTCTCTTAACGAGTTGCAAGTGTCTGGTTTTCATGCACAGCTCTTTTGCTCACTATGTTTGTGCATTATACTTGTTCTGTTCATGTAACGTGTTTGCACAGGAATGTTGTTTGTTTTTTATATATAGGATGTTTGTTCGATAGGTGTTAGGCGTTTGTTTAGTACGTGGATTGTACATGATATTTATCAAGCTTTGTTCTTATCTTTTCTCGCCCTTCCCTGTCTTTTGTCTTAGCTACGCGTGTGGTTATTATGCCCCTGGGATGTTCGCAGGCCGCTTGTGTAAAATTAGATTACTTGTAGTTTTTATTTGCTGAGTGGCGTGTTTAGTAACAGATGGTTGAGACAAAGCTTATCATTATGCAGTTGAATATGTGTTCATTACTTTTTTTGTTTTGTTTTTGTTTTTGCTGTTCCTTATAGTTGAAAAGCCACTTCCAAAGTGTCTTGGTTGTACTTCGGAAGATTTCCACAGTCTATAAGAGGCGGTTAATGAAAAAAAAAAATCTATATTTCCCAGGATTTGCAACTCCGCCCTCCGCCCGCGTCGGAACTCGTTGAACAGCATGTTGATGAGGGACCAGTTTTGCAACAGTCGGTCATTCCTTGCCCTTCGCTAGGCCCTTGGTTGAAAAGCATCTTAATTCCATTGCGCTCTTCTTGCAGGACAGTCGGCGATAAATGTAATTGAAGCGTGCAATGGCAGTGGATATTTCTGTGAAAATTTCATGTTCAATCTTCATTATTGTTTTTATTATTGTTGTTGTTGTCATTATTATGATTATGGTTATGGTTGTTATTGTGCTAATAATGATTGTTATTGTTGCTTTTATTTATTATTATTATTTTAATTGTTTGTCATAATTATAATCATAATAACAATAATGATAATTATTAATATTATTAGTCTATTGTTATTTTCTATGTTATTGTCATTATTAATGTTTTTATTATCATTGTTATTGTTATTATTATTACTGGTATTATTGCTATTGTTATTATTGTATCGTTGTTGTTGTTCATCATCATCAATATTGTTGCTATTATTTTTGTTATTGTTATCATTATGATTATTTTTGTTTTTGTTATTATTATTATGAATATAATTTTTGCTTTTGTGATTATTATTATCATAATCATGATTTTATTATTATTATTATTATTATTATTATTATTATTATTATTATTTTCACTTTCATTTTTGTTATTATTCAAAAAGTTGTTACCGATTTGTCAGTCATGTTGAGAAAAGCGAGGGTGCGTGTATTTTCTCTGAGTTATTTCCTTTGGGGAAGGTGCAGGGGGAGAGGGAGGGGGGCAAATGAAACCTGTCATATCAGGCTGTCAGAGGCAGAGAGATCGTGTTTATATCCTGTCCGTGTGGCTTATCAGCTTCTTGCGTTTGCCATCTGCCGTTCTGCCATCTCACCCTTGTTTCCGCTGGACAGGATGTGTGTGTGTGTGTGTGTTCGTGATAAAGGACGGGAAGGGACTTTTACATTACGATATTTATAGACGTCTCGTATCTGTCTTGTTTATCTCTTTCATGTTCTTTTTCTCTCTTTATCCTTTTCCTTATCCTTTTCCTTCTTTTTTTCTCTTTCCGTTTGGTGTGTGTAGAAGGGGCATGTTCGGAATGTTAGTCCCTTTCTTTCGTTTTGTCCTCTGTCTCTTTCTCTTTTCCTTTCTCTCTCTCTCTCTCTCTCTCTCTCTCTCTCTCTCTCTCTCTCTCTCTCTCTCTCTCTCTCTCTCTCTCTCTCTCTCTCTCTCTGTATATTTATATATGAATATATATTTTGTGTGTGTGTGTGTGTGAGATATATGTATGTATGTATGTATGTATGTACAGGCATACATATTCATACATGTGTGTGTTTAGATGATCACATTATTTTCTCTTATGTTATACAAGGCCGAATGTACACTGCCAGTCGGCTGGGATTTGCATTGCACTTCGCCTCATGTTACGGCGCCATGGAGGCAGAGAACGTTACACATTTTTTGTTGTTTTGTCGGCCGATAGTTGACAGGAGAGACAGAACGCCGACTGTTTCGACTGGGGCGTGTCGCGTGCTGCGTGGCGTTAATGTCAAGTGTTTTGTTACGCAACTTTCGATGTTGATGCGGCTTTTGCATGTGACTAAGGGTGGTACATACGCTTATTATGCATTAAGGTTAATTAGCGTCATATGCAATGCCGTGCACAATAGTGTATTTTTTTTCATTGTGTTCCTCCTCCTCCGGCATGGAGTGGGTTAGTGAAATGCGTATTGTTATTTGCCGGGACTTTTACCCGCTGGAAAATATTTTAAAAAATACTATAGTTATCGTCGTTACTCTATCATCGCCTCTTTGTTATTAGATATGTTCATCTTGTTATTGAAGCTCATGCTGTTCTCGTTCTCGTTTGTTATCACAGAGTCTGTTGATGTTCCAGGTGTTATCATCATCCAGTAAACGTTATCGTCATTTGTTATCAGATAACCTGTCGAGCTTGGTAAATGTTCCAGTAGCTGCTGGTATCGTCTTCGTTTGTCACCAGATAACCTAACTGTTCGCTAATTGTTCCAGATGATGTTATTTATTGCCTTCGTTTGTTATCGGAAAACCTCTCGATCTCAGCCAACTCTTCCTGAAAGTCTTGTGACTGAGAATTTTCTAAGCCCCCCCTTTCCTCCCTTCGCCGCAGGTTGGTGGTGTGGAGCGAGCTGCGTGTGTACTTCGTGGCGAGCGTGGCGGCGCTGGCGGTGTTCCTGCACCAGCAGTGGGTGCACACCATCTGGCCCGAGATCCGCGTGCCCAAACCCGAGCCCGACGACACCGAGGACTGGACTCCTGTGCATCCGAGGTGAGTAGGAGGCTGCTTGCTTGCGGGAGGGAGGGAGGTGAGAAGCTGGGGGGGGACTCTCTTTTTTTCTTTTCTTCTTCTTCTTCTTTTCTTTTCTTTCTTTTTCTCTATGATTTGACGAACTGTCTGGTTTTTTTTTTCTTTTCTTCTTCTTCTTTTCTTTTCTTTCTTTTTCTCTATGATTTGACGAACTGTCTGGTTTTTTTTTTCTTTTCTTCTTCTTCTTCTTTTCTTTTCTTTCTTTTTCTCTATGATTTGACGAACTGTCTGGTTTTTTTTTTCTTTTCTTCTTCTTCTTCTTTTCTTTTCTTTCTTTTTCTCTATGATTTGACGAACTGTCTGGTTTTTTTTTTCTTTTCTTTCTTTTTCTCTATGATTTGACGAACTGTCTGGTTTTTTTTTTCTTTTCTTCTTCTTCTTCTTTTCTTTTCTTTCTTTTTCTCTATGATTTGACGAACTGTCTGGTTTTTTTTTTCTTTTCTTTCTTTTTCTCTATGATTTGACGAACTGTCTGGTTTTTTTTTTCTTTTCTTTCTTTTTCTCTATGATTTGACGAACTGTCTGGTTTTTTTTTTCTTTTCTTTCTTTTTCTCTATGATTTGACGAACTGTCTGGGTTTTTTTCTTCTTCTCTTTTTTCTGTTTCTTACCCTTTCTCCCTCCTTCTTCCCTCTCTCTCTCTCCCTCTTCCCTCTCTCTCTCTCTCTCCCCCTTCCTCCCTCATTCTCCCTTTCCCACACACCCTTTATCTATCTATCAATCTCTTTTCCATCCCTCCCTCCCTTCTTCATTCCCTATCCCCTTTTCTCGGTCTGTTTGTATATCTTTCATTCATTTACGTACTCATTCCCTCTTTCTAAACTTTATTTCTCTTTATCTCTGTGTTCGCGTGCGGGCGTGTTTGTCGCCCCGCATGTGTTCCGAGGTAAGGCAAGTCGGACGGGCGGAGAAGGGGGGGGGGGGGAGCTGTAATGAGCCGTGAATGTCGTGTTGGGAAATTCCTGAACTCAAGAGAAGGTTTGATGTTTTTAGGGGAGACTGAAGAAGCAGAGGGGAGGGAGGCAAGGAGGGGGGGATGGGGTGGCTAGGGCGGGAGGTAGATGGGGATATCCCGATGACTCATCGCTGTCAATCTTCCCCTCCCTTTCCCCCTTCCCTCCTTTCCCCTTCCCCTCCTTTCCCCCTCCCCTCCTTTCACCCTCCTCCCTCCTCCCCTCCTTTCCCCCTCCTCCCTCCTCCCCTCCTTCCCCTCCTTCCCCCCTCCTCCCCTCCCCTCCTTTCCCCCTCTTCCCCTCCCCTCCTTTCTCCCTCCTCCTTCCTCCCCTCCCCCCTCCCCTCCTGTCACCTTCCTTTCCCCCTCCTCCCCTTCCCCCCTCCTTCACTCCCCTTCTCCCCCATTCCCGTGGGAGCACCTCCTCGCCGACGAATAGGGATATCTTGTAAATATTACGTAAGTTACGCGGCTGCCTTCGGTATTATGTATCCGCCTGTTGCTTTTTTTTTCCATCTTGCTCTGCCAAAGGAATATCCCGAGAGCCCTTGAATCTACTCGGATGTATTTGTTAAAAGGCCGCATGCACGTGTTTGGAGGGTGTGACGTCAGCGGGTGGTTCAAGATGCTCCCCGCGTCGCCACCGCCGCCACCGCCACCGCCACCTCCTCCTCCGCCGCCGACGCCGCCGACGTAACTTCCGAGCAACCGATCGCCAGGAATAGCTCGACGTGGGTCCCGTTCTCGCGCGTGTGGTCTCGCTGCGGTTGGAGGGAGAGGAGGCAAGGAGGAGGAGGAGGAGGAAGAAGAGAAGAGGGGGGTGGGGAAGGGGAAGGATGAGAAGTAGAAAGAGCAAGGGAGGAGGAGGAGACGGAGGAGAAGGAGAAGGAGAAAGATAAAAGGAGGAGGAGGAAGAGAAGTTGAAAGAGAAAGGGAAGAGGAAGAAGAGGGAGAGGAAGAGCAGGAGATGGTGTTCGGTACGGTGAAAACAACAGTAGTCTTGAATTGGTCTAATTGCCTTCCCGGTAATTAGTCAAGCAGACGGACAGAATAAAGACCAATCCTCGCTTTGCATGGCAGATGATGTCCGCGGCAGTTTTTTTTGTTCACCTGGCTTTCTCTGACACGAGCGCTCCCCTTTCTCTATCCTCACACTCACACTTCATTGTTATTAGTATGTCAAGGAGAGAGCCTTTCGTTGTCCGAGATCCCTGCCCTCTGCCGTGGCATTCATACGCGGTGACATGCATACGTAACGGGGTTAGTGCTTTGCTTGCAGGAACTAACCACCCCTGCCAAGATTGTTCTATAAATATACCGGTCATTTATTCTGAGTGTGATTTGGTAAATGATTTTGGGTTAGGATTCAGATCGGATATGTATTATTATTATTATTTTTCTTTTTTTATTCTCTCCCAATCATCGGTGTCTTGTTCCTTCGATGGCGATGATGATGCTTGGGTTCCGGTATCTCCTCTTCCTCTCCTTCGTATCTTTGGTCTTTTTCCCCACCCTTCCTTCCTCCTCCCCCCTGGTTCATTCTTCCCCTCTTTTAATCTTTCCCTTCATTCCTTCCTCTCGTTCCTCCTCCCCGTTCCTCCATCCCCTCTTTCGATTCCCCTCTTTATTCAGTGCCCCCCCCTCCCTCTCTCCCTCCCTCCCTCCCTCCCCCCCTCCCTCCCCTTCCTCATGAAAGAGAACTTGATGATTATCCGTTTCCGTTGACTATCGGAGTTTCCTTTGCACTGGGTATTACCGGTTCGAGCCACCCGGTACTCGCTTTCACGAGGGAATCGACGCCGCGGGGGAATCGCTCTGTCGAACAGCTGATGTTGAATTGATTAAAAGATGATGCGGTTGTGTTGATGTGGAGGAGGTCTGCGCCGTTGCTTGATATTTATTGATTGCAGTTTGCAATGTGTATTCAACGCTGAGAAGAAATGATAGTTTCAATTATCGTTTTATAGAATGGCATTTATAAAGTTGTGTTGAAGCTTTGATTGATTGCAGTCATCAAAAACTTCCCAGATTTGTCGTCACTATAATAAGTCCCAAATGTCGTGTTTCATCTTGCATTGGCGTGTCGGTTGCAACGACGTCTTTAAATGCTCTGCGCTACCATCCATGTGTTTATATTCATTACCCTGAGGCGTGGAAAGCATGGAGATTGCGTTTTCTGTACAGGCATTGTGTTGCAAAAGTGATGTGAGACGCGCGACGCAGCCGTGTGTTATTCAGCTGTTGAATTTATTGCGCATCGGTGGTACATGAATTTTGTTTGTTTGTTTTTCACGAAGCCAGGGACGGAGATTTGCGAAGGGAATGTGAGAGGGGATTGGCGTTTAGGTGTATGGGAGAGAATATTGCGGTGGGTTTGTGATCGGAGGTGTATTTCGTGAAGTAGGTTACTGGATTGAACTAATTTAAATACCACTATTCTCCAGATCTCCCCCCCACACACACACACACACTTTCTGTCTTCCATCTACTACCTTCTTTCTTCTTCCTCTCCCCTTCCCTTTTGCATTTTCCCTTTTTCTGATTCCTTCCCTTCATTGTTTTCCTCCCCCCCCCCCTCTCTCTCTCTCTCTCTCTCTCTCTCTCTCTCTCTCTCTCTCTCTCTCTCTCTCTCTCTCTCTCTCTCTCTCTCTCTCTCTCTCTCCCCAATCTACAGTATATTTCACTTTTCATCTCAAATACCAAAGTAAAAGTAAAGTAACTGATATCAGTCGTCGATGTATAGGTCTGTACTGTTTATGGCAATGGCGACGCGTTGTCCCATTTTTCTATTTAATCTTATCGATTACTTTTTTTTTTTTACTCTTTCGACTCATTGTCTTGAGATGTAGGTAAGACTTGTTTACCGCCTGGGATATCAAGTGTTTATTGTTTACATGTTTATGAACTTATTTTCCGTCGGTTATCAGTTATCCTCTGCCCCTCCCCCCCACCCTCCCTCACTCTTCCTCCCCTTTCACCCTCTCTTCTTCCCACCTCACCCCTCCCCTCCCTTCCCCACCTCACCTCTCCCCTCCCCCACCTCACCCTTCCCCTCCCTTCCCCACCTCACCTCTCACCTCCCCCACCTCACCTCTCCCCCTCCCCTTCCTTTCCCACCTCACCTCTCCTCCGCCTCTCCCCTCCACCACCTCACCTCTCCCCTGCCTCTCCCCTCCCCCACCTAACCTCTCCCCTCCCCCACCTAACCTCTCCCCTCCCCCCACTTCACCTCTCCCCCACCTCTCACCTCCCCCCCCACCTCTCACCTCCCCCCCCACCTCTCACCTCCCCCCACCTCTCACCTCCCCCCACCTCTCACCTCTTTATCTCGAATGTGTCCTATAATCTGGGGCATGGTTTGTTTTGCTGGGTATTGCGTCATGTCGATCGCGTGAGCATTTTCCGTTGTTTGAGTCGTGTTGGAATTCCGTGCGAGGTGCCAAAAGATCAGGTCGAGATTTATATATAGGCCTATATAAGATAGGCCTTGTCTCTGTCCTTTTCGTCGCATTGTCAGCTGCGTTTTTTTTTTCATTCTGTGATCTGGCTACTGTCTCGCATTGCCGTGTGTGTGTGTGTGTATTTAAGCGCGCAAAAAAGAGCAATATGTAGGCCTATGCAAACACAGTAGAAACGAAATACAACGTGACGTTTCGAACTCATCATACGTAGGACGAACCAAAATTGTGCTTGTCTGATTGTTTATGTGTGTGCCCATATGTCGGTATATAACTTTGTGTGTATGTATGTATCTATCTACCGTTCTATTTATTTACTCGTGCGTCTACTTATTTTTTTATCTTCACTTACGCCTGACTGCACGTATCTCATTGGCCCCATTTATGCCAAACATCAACAATTTTCTTCTCCCCGGTCGCGTTCTCAACCCGGATGCGCGAGGGCCGACGAGCTTGGTAGGTGTCTGCCATTCATTTTCCTTGGCTAATTTTGGAAGTCTTGACCTCCGGGGACGCCTCAGTATCGAGCTCCAACGCGGAAGACAGCCCAAG